AGATGTAAAGAAAATAGAAATAGAGATAGATACCCTTAGAAGAAAAAGTTGCTGTTTCCAAAAATTACTTTATTTAATTAAATGTAGCGGTTATGGGCTGTCAAGCAAATATTTGTTAAAATTCAACAAAATATTTGTTAATTCAAACAAATAACATGTTTTAAATTTCAAGATTTGGTTAATGTAAATATATAAATATTTGAAATAATTATTACGAACGAAACGCATTTAGCCAAGTTAACAATTTTTTTTTTCAATGTAGAGAGATAGATAGATAGATAAAGCGTTTATTGATGTTCTAGGGCAAGTCCTCTAAGAATATAGAAGAAAATGTAATTTTCAATACATATTGGCAGTATAATCGTAACAAAGAATTTGTCACAGAGTATTTATAGAGAGAAAATAGAATGTCGCGGTAGCATTACAAATTACTAAAATTAAAATTACATATTACAAGTTACAAATACAAATATATATTACAAAGGTACACATTACAAAAATTACTGATATTACTAGAATTGCAGAGAGAGAGAGAGAGAGAGAGAGAGAGAGAGAGAGAGAGAGAGAGAGAGAGAGAGAGAGAGACAATAGAAATCATCATCTATTCACGTCAATTTCGATGAATCGGATTAATACCCTATTTGATTGACGGCTTCATTATCTTCTGCGGTAATTGCTGCTATACAGATCGTCTTCAGCAAACTACGTTTACTTTTAACGAGTAAGATGACGCGTTTTGAATATCGTGAGCGAAAAGAGAGAAAGGGAGAGTTCGCTTTCCATTAATGGTGTCTGCTGTCAAATTTGCCGAAAGTAAGGTGAAGTTTCGAGACGGACTTTCCACGTTTTAGTGCTAATTAAAGTGTTTTGCCGTATAATGTATCATGTACATATATTATATTGCCTATGAAACTATTAATACTTTGCCGTAATTACTGTAATTATCTTATATCGAAATGCTGCATGGTGGATCGATCGAGTCGACAAGCATTCCAATTAAGCATTCCGATCGGTCGACGACGACTGCACATCCCAAATCTCTATCCTTGTATTCTTCTGTTCGGAATGCAGTTTATTATTTTCAACAAAGCATAAAAAGAGTCTACTAACTTGATACCCGATTGTAAACTTAATTAACCGGCAGATTGCTGAGTGTTGGTCATGAAACTAATATCGAGCAGCGCTTAAGGAAAGCGAAATAAAAAAAAATAAAATTTGTGTCCACCTCAGAAAATCGATTTCAACCGCGGTAATAAAGAGTTTAGTACGTGCATTTGTACTTTTAATTTTCGTCGTATTTCTTCTCGTATTTTTGCCGTATTTCTTCTATGAAAATTCATAGTCACGCGAATTACAAACTATATCTTGGTATTCACACGTAAATCCAATTCGCGATTCTAATCCAAATGCACGATAATTCGAGGAGAATGCTGGGAATATCTAACGATTCTCGTCACTCTTTTCGCCGCCGCGCCGGAGGATATCTGTTTTTGACAGCTACACGATGGTGATCCACCTATAAGAAGTGGAATTTTGCCAGCTGATCCCGAGGACACTGCGGAAACGCCGAATTTCAGGAGCGAATCTATTTGAAAAGGGATCTCTTAAAAAATAATTTCAACGCTAAATAGACTTTTCTAAAAAATAATTTATACACTGTTAAATCTATAATGTCAAATTTAATCTAAGTCACTTGTACTAAACATATTGTTATTTTATACCAAGCCTGTCCAATTTGAGCTCCAGAGCCAAAACGCAAAGTCATCGACGCAAAAAAAAATGCAATGTGAATAAAATTTTGGGAAACACTATAAAGTGTTGATAAACGTCACTCAGATCCGTATCAACACTTTATAATCCCCGAAATCTTACATTAAATTTTTTTGCATCGATAGCTTTGCGTTTTGGCTCCGAAGCTCAAATTGGACAGACCTGTTTTATACTAAAACGATAATTAAATTTGATACTATATCGTGTCAATTTGACGCTATAGATGTCAAATTGACGTTGTACAATGTGAGATACAAGCACTGTTTTTAAAACGATATAATTGAGCAGAAGTAATGGCGGTTTACATTAGGTTAAATTTGACTGTAAATTTATGTAATAATGTACAAGATAATTTTGTCCAAAAATATGTATTTGTTGATATAAAATAATGTTTTTAGGGCATTATGTTTTGTTCAATATCTCCTGTATATATCTCGGAAATTTAGTTCGCAAAACGCGTTTACTATCCGCTCCTGGCAAAACTTCTATTTCATCCTGCAGTCAATGGCAGTCGCGCCGCGACGCCGCTGCGTCGTGCCCCCGCATCCGCGGTTCCCTTTTTACCGCGGCACCGCATTAAGCCCGCCTAATGTCACTCGAAGAAGCGACCGGCGCGCGGGAACGGAGAAAAGTGTGGGAAAGTGTAAAAAACGAGCGGACCCGATAGATCGATCCGGCGGAAATTTCTCAGGGGAACAACGCCCGTGAGCGCAGTGCCGCAGGCCGTTCAAGCGCTATCCTACATCCATCACGCAGAATTTGCACATTGGTGCTGGACAACTAGATTTACTGGCGAAATATCCACCGGCGGAGAGGGCGAGTCGTAATCACGGAAGGAATCCACGCAATTTATAAGGCGTATATAAATTGAAAATTATTTACAGAAAGAATTAATTCCGTTATAGCGAATATATATTTATATGAATATTTATATTATCCTTTTTTTTTTCTTTTTTTTTCTGTTTTTCGTACTAATGTAACTCCTTAACGCACGCGCTGTGAAAGCCCGAATTGTTATAACCGACCTAGTAAAAAATCGTCACAGATTAAATTTCTGAGGTAAAAGCGTACTTCCGTTCTCTCAATTAAAGCGCAAAAAGTATCGCATCACAATAATCAACAATATCGGTAAAGTATTAAAGCACAACGGACCCGATAGATGTTCATATATTTTGCACGTGAATTGCAATGTAAATAATTAATCGTCACTATTTATCAACACGGTAATGCATAGTGAACGTATAAATTCGTAACGTATTATTAATCTCTTACGCGATGAAAATTTGTGCTTTTACGAGCGATCGATGCGAGCGGCGCGTGTTTTATCAATCCCGCGAAATTAATAATTTAATTTGTGACACGTAACCGTTTTCCCTCGAAATTAATATCACGGCCGAGGATCGATTTTTCCGCGGATGCGGATACGATAAGATCGGCCCCTTTCACGATTCCGTCAGAGGCGTTTCGGCTGCCCTATCAATCTCCACCGCCGTTTTTCAGTTGTGAGCTCGCGGATTTTCTCGGGTCCGCGTTACTGCGCTTCTTGCATGCAGAAGGGGAATAGATTGACTGAAATTGACACCTACACTCCCGCCCGTCAATGCGAATTGACGACGACCGAATTGGATAATCGGTGGAAGCGCCACGATCTCGCCGGTGATGTGAACATATCGTGGCACGACCTAATCTTTATCCTCACATCATTGTGTCACTTTCGTCCTCGTTTCTCCTAATTTCTCAATATATCTTTTCTTAGAGCTTTTATCGGAACGCGTACTAATATAAATTTATAATGTCAAATTATATCCAATATGAATTATTTTTTATCATTTCTATATAGGTCATTGCTCTTCCTATTGAATGTATCATTAATTTAATTAACACAATGGAGTTAACCAATTTAATTTTTTTAAACGTATTAAATTTAACTCAGTTTGTTATTTACTGTATATGTACGGTAATATGAACATTGTTGACGTGAAACTAATCACAGAAAATAGATTGATTTACATTTTGACACATGGATGTTAAAAATATATATAACAAAATGTTATTTTTAGCTCAAGGGATTGAATAATTACTATTGCTCTTTTGATATCTGACGGTGTACGTTATTCGATATCAACACGACGAGTTTTTTATTTCTTTGACAATACCCAGAATTAATTTTTTTTCATCAAAGTTGATATTTTTTATGGAAAATTTTTTTCCGTCACGAGTGCAGCAACGTAAAAATTTGCAAAAATTCGTGAGATTATTTATAAAATGTTTTTATTCGTTAGAAGTTAAATATTACGTCGGACGATTTTGCAAAAAAATTCACGTAGATTTGAGGTGTCGCAACTACATCGGTCGGTAATATTCGTTAGAAATCCTTCACAGCCACACCACTATCTGGACTGGATGATGTATGATGTAATTAATGGTTATTTCGCGGCTAATTGCCCGGGCGATTATGACTTTTCCGCGTGTATGTCGTCGCAGCGCTGCACTGCCAGGACGAACATGAGAAGGAAGTTTTAAATAGCATGTCCTAAATAAATTGCAGAATAAGTTTGCTCATCGATATAACATATTTTAATTTTTAAATGCATTTAAGTAGATGTGTGAAATAAAAAATAAAATCGAATTCAATTGAATAAACTAAATTCACCAATGATTACGTATATATTACTAACGTAATTGTTTATAACGTCGTAAGAACCTTTCGATCAAATAGGAAACGCTGGCGACAACGTAAATTTTGGCACATTTCTAAAAAAAGCTGTAAAACAATCTGATTTTGTCATTGATAAATAAAGATAACGTAATTTCTATATACAAATAAATATATATATATATATATATATATAATTTCGGCTCGATTTCATTGGCGACGCCCACTGTTCCCCTCTTGCCGCGCATTGCCTAACGATTCGTCGGATGCTTCTAAACAACGCGCGTACCACTTCATCTCAGGATCCTTCCTACTATTAACTATACGAATAGAACTGATGAATCTCCCTCAACTTAAATAATAAATTAAAACTTTTTTTTAAAATAATTTTAAATTAATAATTTAAATATTTTTATTATTAATATACTATACACATATATTAATAATTATTTTAAGAAAAATTCGATAAGATATAATAATCCGTCTAGACTTAACGTATTTCGATAAGATTTTGCAAGTATGTTGATTTTTACCGTAAAAAAGTTCATACTGACGATGACTATTTTTATTACAGGTATACCCAATCCGTTTGAAGAGGAAGATAACGACGATCCCTACTTCTTTACTCCTCAATTTCAATTTCCTATGTTATTTGGTACGTAACATTTACAGTTATATCGAGACGGGATGTGTGTATGGTGTGTGTATATATATGTGTGTATAATATAGCTTTGATTTTTTTTAATATGTGTTTGTTCCTCTTAATTGCATTACACATTTTCTCTTCTCTCTGTAATTAAAAAACAAAAATATATATGTTTGAAAAATAAAAAGAAGAAAAGAAAGAGAAGGGAAATAATTTGTAATAAACTAATAGAAAGAGCACTATAATAATCGGAAAAAAAAAGAAAAGAAATTTCATATCATCTAGAATTGTTTCAATATCGTATTAACTAATTCTTATCAATACGCAATCATCCGTTCGCATTTTCATCACACGTTTCATGCTAGATACAGCCGCGATAAAATATCGATTTTATTCATCCGCTGTGAATGCTGTATTTAATGGAAACGAGTATATGGTATTTTTGACGTTGAATACGCGCTGAAGATACGAACTTAATGGCGGCTGTGTCAAATCAAACGTTAAATACAGGTGCAAATGTAACCCGTTATTTTCATCAGCGCCTCCGCACTTCTGCGCTCTAACACAGAGATTCGCAAACGCGGTACACGTGAGAGTGCGAATTTGTGTGCCTTTGACAGGTAGATCATAGAGGCGTGCGCAAATATCGCGCACGCATCGCACGGACCGGACGGTCGGAAATGCAACGTACAGCCACGATTGCATCGCGGGCGTCAGTCTCATATCCCGCTTACATGCGGTTTGTCTGAGCGTAACTTCCGTCAGTGTGCGCCTACAGGGACATTTGGCATTGTTTATGGTATACCAATTACCGCGTTCCGTCGTTCGCTTCATACGAATCTTGCTTACAATTAATATACCATCGACTAATCAATGGCTGTAGTGTCATTAAAAGATTAATTATTAGCGCAACATTTTATTATTTTATACATCACATATACGAATATCTTTCACAATAATAGTTCATTGCATCGATTGAAAGTAAATTTTGCGATATTTAATCGAGAAACGTAAAAATAACATCTCGTATTGAGGTTACGAACGAAGTTATTTGAATTATAAAATTAGCTTGCAAATTAAAATTGTGTCTTCATAAAATTTTATTTGAATGTATCAAAAAAAATTTATATAAACCTATAAAAAGACACATATTACTTTTTTTTTTTGTAAAAAAAGAATGTGCTTAAATATTTAGTTAAAAAAAAAACAGGTCGTTCAAATGAAAGTCTAAAGAGGAAAGAATTTCTTTTTACGAACACAATATCTTATTTATAAAACATAAATATACAGGGATCTCCTTTTTTCTCAAGATAGATAGTAATAATTGGAATTTCAAATATCCGCGTTGATGTCGGTGCATTAAGTCAGTCGCGCGCCATGCGTGTATTCTGCAGATTATCACGCAGCTTTACGGAAGGCAACTTCCGCTCTTCCACGTTCTAGGATGATCAACAATCTCTCGTAAACCAGTTCGACTGCGAGATACGTACGGCTTGTATGTGTGTGCGCGACCGCGGTAATAATGTCTCGCGGGTAATGAGTCGCTTATTCGTGTGTGGGAGCTCATACGTGCCGCCCGTCACTCTCGTTGCGCAACAATTCGTGCTCTGGATCTATCGCAAACTGATACCGCACCCGTAGGTCATGCCTTCGCTCTAACAATGTATCGCCATTTGACCATCATCGATGATCGCATTTAAGGGAATCCTCGTGTGGAACTGGACCCGCATTAATGTAATTGCGATGTATATGTGAACGAGATTTTCGTCGAAAATTTACGCTGCGCGATAGCCAATGCGATTAAAATCTCACAAAGGACCCCACACTAATTCTATGAAAAATTGGATCCCGGTGAAATGAGTTATTTTTCACATATATGTAGCTTACAATGTGATGAAAAAATGTCATACTGCGATACAAGGCTGAATAATGGATGGTTTTTGAGCTACGATGTATCAAATGTGTAAAACTTGTGCTCACAGAGCACCCTTGATACACGATCAAAAACTATCCATTATTGAGTTTTGTGTCTATGGCATCTTTTGTTCACAACGTTATAAGCAACATTATTATACATGAAAATTAATTCACTAGAACTCTATTGTCGATATAATTAGAGCAGACACCTCAAAAGGCGGAATAATCGTCAAAGAATAAAAAAATAAAAAAATTCAAATATCCTACTGGGGAATATTTAAGAAGAAAGTTTGGAATGTAAATATATTCTTGTATATGAATATGTGGCTTGTCAAAATCAGCAATTTTTCTGATTGGAATCCGCAGGAAGAAAAACTAACAGTAAACAGGTTTCGCCTTGCTTCCTGTTCCTCTTCCGGAAGAGTAAACACGGAATAAACAAATAGGTACAAACCGATACTTATACATAACGTCTTCCGTATTCCTGCGGTTATGTACCGAAGAATTTGCAGAAGATGAACGCACACGCTACAGATCGGAATCGAACGCATTTAGAAACTTATTTATCCTCAAACGTTTTTTTTTTCTGATCGAGCTTGGAAAATGCTTGGTGTGTGCAAACAGAATTAAACAAAACGACGGTGAAAAAGCAGTTTGCGTGCAGTATGTATGTTTTCATGCCTTTTTACTAACTAATATTTAACAAAATTTTCGTTAAATATTTTCATGCGTTTCGCGCATGCGACGCGCGTTTTATAAATATTTATAGAGCCCAAACAATATGCATCAAATGCCGAATATTCATTCGAATAAGCAAAAATTTTACATGGGGTACGGCTTGAAAAATTTGCACGATTTCCCGAAATAGAGGCGACTTTGCAATTTCCTTAATACACGTAAAGCGCTATCGCTGCTCTTATCGCGAGATATATGGCTGTGGAATAGCTGTACAGTGTTACATCCATCGCACCGTTAATCGATATACGTAACTATAGCATTACATGCCGGCGAGAGAAAGAATAACAGGTAGCCGTGGTATTCTAATGAAAGCAATTACCAGAAAATATTGTTCTAATTAACCAAGTTGCGATTACTAATGCGCTACAAAAAATTAGAGATTTCCTCACGGCAAGAGAAAGAAAGAGAGTTGATATATATAAAACTCCGTAAATTCGGATGGTGCAGAATTACGTAATGCAATATTGAAAGCCATTTTCTTAAATTTCAAAAATTCAGCACTTATAATACTGACCGTATTAATTCACCTTATATAAAAAGATATAAGTAAAGAACGCATAAAAATTAAAACGACTTCTTACCAAGATAATTGTATTAACTTTTTATCTTCAGATTTTTTAAGTTTATTAGCCTGATCTATATTCTGTATCATATATTTAGTTAAATGTGAAATTTACCTTTGATTACACTAAATTTACATTAAGATTCCTTGGCAAATCAAATTATCATAGAAATGTCTAATTTTTTAATATAATAAAGTTGAAATACCAAAATTGACAAAATTCTACGATAGGTTAACGATGAAATAAGAGAGAAAAAAATGTTGAAAATGTATAACTTTTCATGTATAACTTAGTGACAAATAAGGCTCGCAGACGCTTCTTTGATTAACTGCACACAAATCTTACTATAATTTTTTCTCAAAAATGAGATTATAATAATAGTTTAAAAAATTACGATTTTAATTATCACAAAAAAGTAATAGGTCAACGGCCATTCTGGAAACGATATTTACGTGCATAAATTTAACCTCGGAAACATAATCTCATCTTGTTTTCGTTCGATGAAAATGCAATTCTTGATTTACTATCGTATGTTCCATACTATTTCATTAAGACACATCATACACACATAGTTTTAATATTTTATTTAAATTATGCAGATATTTATAATTTTGGATGGATCCTGGTAGGGCACCCCAAATTTTTGGTACTTTACTAAAGAACTACCTTAAGATTTTCGACAAGAGCACATAACAACTGTTTTTAAAATGAGCCTGAATTTGTCGAAATATTTCCATCAGGTCCGATTTTTGAGATATAAAAAAAAAGACGTTTGTTCAAGTTGTATAGGAAAGTTTCATAGAAAAATTTGGTATTTTATTTGAAATTAGAAAAAACTAGAGGTATTCAGCATTTAATTTTTGTTCTTTTATTTCGTTGTTTGCAGCAGTAGTTGCCTAGCATGCTTTCATTCCAATATCTCTGATAACGTCTCTCAATTGTCAAATCCTAGAGGAAACGTTCACTTTGCACCTTAATTGTTCGGAAAGAAATACCATTATCTAAAAATTGACATGCCAAATTAAAAAAATTTGATTTGAAAGAATTTTTCTGAGATTTGAACTCATCGCCCAAAATAGGTTTAATAAAAAACTTGTTCCCTCTTTTCTTGCACTAAAAATTATTCATTGCAGAGAGAGAGTAAATTAGTATTATTGGCTATAACGTTGTATCGCAAATTCGTATCAGAAGAAATAAAGTATTGAAATAAGATCTTTTATCCGAGAGAGACAAGACACAGGATCATTCCTTTATCTATTAATTATCCTATTATACTTATTGGGATCTCCATGTATTATCAGCCGGTGACGTACGCTAGTGATAAATACTTCCGTGCATGCATATTTTTGTGTGCCGGTAAAAACATTCGACGAAGAAAGGTAGCCGATCGATCGACGTGATTAACGGTGTTATCGCGTGGAATTTATAACAAGGTGATCCCGAAATCCGGTACGCGCGTAGGTGGGTAAGACGGCACGTGTAGCACACCCAACAAAATAAAATCTGTTGTGCCGATGAACATCATCTTTTATGGCCTTTCGAAGTAGTGCAGGGAGTAAAGGTCGCAACGTTAAATGTTAAGCTCACGACGATATGAAATATAATGCACGGATGTGAGAAATAATATTGCACGCTACAATAAATAATGTGTAATGTCCCTCAGCAATGTTAATGCAAAAACTGATGTTATTTTGAGAATAAATGTATTTAAAAGTTTTATTAAATATAGATACATTATAATAGATTAAGCACGTGTCTGATATTAAACGCAACTACGTTAAATTAAAAATA